CCGTAACTCAGTTCGATATAAGCCCGGAAAGCTGGGGGAAAGGGATACGCTAGCAAATGAGTAGGCGTACAGAAGTGGTTTACGGACAACTCAATTCCCTTCTGGCGCCTCGAAGTTGTGTTTTTCTTTGCTATCTCTCGTCCGCTTTGCACTTTCCAGCTTTTCACGTATGGCAAGTACTCACCCACTCCGGAGTCCCCTCCCCTTGAAAAAGCTCGTTTCCTGGCTCACCATAGTTTCTTGCACGTCTCGATGCCTTGGCAGGCGCTGTCCTCTATCTGTCTGCGTTTCTTGGTTTCGCAACAGTACCATGCACAAAAGTTCAAGGTACAGGAGGCATACCTCAGATGCGCGTTGTTGGGTCAAACTACAACTTCCTTTACCAACATCCAGATTCCTTCTAATAATTTGAAAGGCTTTGCGTAACTACGGTGAACAACTTTAACAAACCAAACAGCAGGCGACTACAATTCTGCGCTTTCAACTTTTATACGCACCTAGCGTTTCCAACAATTTACAAGAGAGGTGGTTTCTAGAAAGCCAGAGAGCTTTCTAAGGGTGGAGAGTGGTTGCTTCATATAAGGTGTCCGCGGTTTATTGAAAAGTGTCTCTATTGGAACATCTAACACGTCATCTATTGGAACATTTGGTACCAGCACATACAGGATATATCACGGCGATCCGTGATTGCCGTTTGATGTACGTTATATCCTCCCTGCTCGACGGCAGTTTTTTAGAGGAGGGGGACGAGAAAATTTTTGGGAAGAAAGCTTGAGAAAAGTGATAGGAACTTCGGAGAGTTGAGGAAGACGGCAGGCGGGAAAGGATGGGGAAAGCAGGTCGCACCAAAGGTGGAGATTGTGAAGAGGAGGGGTCGTATTCTGCAAAGTTTCTCGCCTACTGCGAAAGGTGCCCTGTCCTCAGCGATGGATCGCTGAATGAACGTAAGCCAAATGTAAGCCATCTAGAGGGGACTGAAGCTGGTCCCCATCTAGATGGCTCTCGCCTACCCTCTCGCAGTAGGCGAGAGCCATCTAGAGAGGACTGAAGCTGGTCCCCATTTCGTTCTTCATATGGGGCCCGAATTAACGAAAGTTTCTATTCGAAAGGGTGTTCACCTAGCTGCACAATGGGAGCTGTCCATCTTAGGCAGAACTTTCCGACGATACCATGGTCCGAATGCGATGTCGTTGTAGACACACATGCCAACGATAAGCAGAGCGAAGCCGATTAGCTAAATTGAGATCACGAAGTGATTTTCTGTCAGCTCTGACGCTGCAATTGTGAACACTGGAGCAACTACCAACCTGCAGAGGAATGAATTTCTGCCCGAAAAGTGGTATGCCAGCTGCCCAAATGATGATCGTTCGGGCACAATCAACAACAGTTCGTGTGGTCGCCGATAAATTCTTCGTGACCGTTGTGCCGGCAAAATTGAAGAAGGCAATGCTAAAACATACAAAAGACAAAATATTGAAGAAAAAAAATATTTCGTTATATTTATGCTTCGCTGCTGCGGCTTTCGTAGTTCAGAGCAGAACTTCGAATTGTTTAAAAATCGGTCTCCAGAGGTAGTTTGCCTATAGGTGAAAGTTATAGGGTAAGAAAGGGTGTGGGGCAAAAGTAGTACAGTAACAACGCGGAATTCGTTTCCTCGTCTTCAACATTCCCCAATAGTGATCCCTTTCTCTGCGGCAGCGTCTCAGCAAAGGGGGAGTCTATACATAGCATGAGCTTCCTTGACACTTTGCAATAGCCCAAGGGTCTTACCAGGGTGAAACGTGTACTTCAACAGCACAAGCAAAAGAAACCGGCGAAATCGCAGAATTGCCCCCCTCTCACCAAAGCCGAGGAGCACCCACTCACTTGCTTTTGCTATATCATTTTTTGAATCCACTCGTCCAAGATTACAGTGGATATTTACCTGATTATCAATCCAGTGAGAGCAACTGCAATCAATGGCTGCACACAAATCGAATTCCACGCATAAATGACGTCCTGAAACCTATTAATTTACAAGCGCAATGCTCTCGATGTATATCCCCCGCTAGAAGTTCACATCTGACACTCGATAAACGATTTCATCCCTTGGAACAGCTGGCAGTTCACGTTCATTATTCAACAGTTTTAAAGTAGAGTGGCGCTCATTCTTTCCATGATCCTCGAAATATGAAATAGTGGTAAGCCGATCAGCTCTCATCTCGTGTGAGGTAGTACTTAATTGCTAGGGGGGGGCGAGGAGTTGCAAGCGGGGTGTCAGTGATCAACGAACAGCGCAAGGCCCATCATCGCTTAGCTGTGAGGAGAGAGATTGGCACTGTAAGCACCCGAATGTGTGGAATACGAAAGAAAAACATTAAAGTAATCGACTAACGGTACTGGTTAGACAACGTGAATTCGCGAAAAATTCCGACTGTTACCTTGTT